GACATCAGCATCCCAGGACTAGGAAGTTGAAGAAAAACACAGGACTCCGTCCTAACGTACGAGGAAGAAGAAGAAAAAGTATAGCGCGTGATCACCACTTTGAACTTGATTTATATTTGCGTAAGATTCGATTAACAAAATCACCTCATTTTTATACATGCGCTTTAGTTTCACCTCTAGTCTTAACTGCCTTACGTATAAGCAACATGTTCTTACGTAATTGTTATTAGTATAACGTCATTTGAAGGAACGACCAAAGGAATTTTTGCGAAAATTATGATTTATGTTTTTAGATAATTTTTTTCTACTTTATGAAATCGCAAAACAAAACCTCCAAAGAAATGACGCTTTTTTGTATCACCTTGTATATGGGCATAAATATACTAAACGAAGTAAAGGTCGGGAGGAGCAGGTCATGAAAGAAGAATATCAGATAACAGAGCGGCCCAAATGTAATATATTCTATAAGTCGACGTCTGAGGTGGATAAACATCTAATATGGCTGAAAATCCTATTAAGTAGAAAATAATGCAGAAAAGGAATAGAGTCGGGTCAACAGCCGGACATAACTATAATAGCAAATCGAACGTTCTCTATAGCTAGATGCCTACAGGCAGTGTTAAGTGCAAATCGTCGACCAACAATTATTATTATTGTAAGACGTAAGTAAATAACGAAACCAATAAATTCTAAACGACCACCCGCACGGGCATAGAAGCCGCGCGGAGAAGGTTTGACATGTACAGTAGCGGTATGAGAACATGCAAAGCTATTGAAGACCGTTTCAATGGGCACCGCCCGTCGTTTCGAAAGGGAGGATTTTCATGTACAAAAGCTGACCTAAATACCAATCATCCTATTCAAGGACTTTGTTCTAACGCCGAAGGAGAACTTTCTTAAATTCCTAGAAACCAGTGATTGAGCTATTATGAATCTGGGGTTAATTTTACTCAAACTCCACCCAACCTGGGGGTGGGAATTTATCAATAAATAAGGGAGAAATCACGAGCAGGACTATTAGTTCAAATTCACGTCAAGTACAACAACAATCAGTGTGATTTCGTGTTAGTGTAAAAATCAATCATCAGGTGAGTTTTCTCACAGAGTAGCCTTTTCAATATTTCTTATTGGTTTAACATTGAAGATAATGTTAATGTTAGGGAGTTTTCTCACAGAGAAGCTTATTCAATATTTCTTATTGGTTTAACATTCAAGATAATGTTAAAGAGTGAATATTCACTTTCTATAAAATTCACTTTATCTTTCTTCTGCTGAGTCTTTATATTTATTTACCTTTTTAACATTAAACTGGTTATATTTAAAGTCAATTTAAAGTTTCATACTGTTAAAGCTTCATTTAAAAGCATAAAAGTTAATAGAGAAGTACCTAGTACTGGCTGTAGACGTACAACAATACTTGAGTAAGACTGTTATTCAGTTTTTGAGTCATTTGAGTAATGATGTTAGGGACGGGTACTGGCTGTGGATGTCCCGCAGTACCTGAGCTTTGAACCCATTGTGAGAGAGAACGCTAGTAGGCGGCTACTGGATGTGGATGAACCGCAGTACCTAGTGGCCAATTGAGATACTGTTTATCATGATAAATGCCGGTGACTAGTAAGGCTTTTCCTGAGCAGGTATTTCGCGCGCAGTATCCTTAATACCTATTAACAACTCAGGTTTAGCAGGGCTTTTCTTGGGGACGTATTTCGTGCGCCGTACCCTAAATACCTCTTAACAACCCAAGTTCAGCCGTGGCAGGATGCAACTTGGTTGTAGTTTTGCGGGGTTCAGAGATAGATTGATAATACTCCGATAGAGTAAAGTTACTACTGGAAATTAAGTTATAGGTAGATAACTGTTGACTCCGAGTGATACACTCTGCCTGAGTCGCTCCTTGTTTGAGACACGTTTGGCGCTTGTAGCTGATTCTGACATGTTTTAATGATTCTCATAATAATAATATAAATCTAATTCTTGTTGAACTGGTTACTCAATTACTTTTTCTAAATTGATTTCAGATGTATTCTCTCAATCGACCACCTGACGAACGGCCATTACAATCACACTGTCTACCGTTTGGGAGTGTAAATATATGTTTTCCTTGTAGTTGATGTTTACTTGTTCTAGGTATAAACGAACGCCCCAATATTATTATTATTATTAGATATAATACGCAAATTACTAATTTGCTACTTATTCAATTTAGTAAGTTGTTAAATTTCAGAGTTGCTTTGTTAGATGACTGAACTAGATGACTAGAAAGTTAATTATGGGGAATTATTTTAAAAAATAGGAATAGAACTTGACGGTAGAGTAATCGAGCAGAAAATGAAATTTAACTACTTTGGCGTGGAACTTTCCGGCTTTGGGGATATTGAGGCAGAGGTGAGAGATCAAACAACAAAAGCAATTATAATAGCTGGCTGTTTGAATGCCATATAGTGCAATAAGTATGAGTATGGAAATGGACACTAAATCGAGGATCTACAAGACCGTCGTGAGGCCGGTGATGACATATACCGCAGAAATCTGGCCAGAAACAGCGAAAACCAAAAGACTCCTAGAGACAGCTGAGATGAAAATACTCCGTAAAATCACCGGAAAGTCACTGCTTTATAGAGAGAGAAGCGAGGATGTTAGAACAGCCTGTAATGTCAAGGACGACGAATGTCATCACTGAATGGGTAGCAAACAGAAATAAGAAATGGAAAGAGCACATAAGCAGGATGGACCACCGCAGACTTGTGAGACTCACTCGCGACAAGTCCCTATTGGGACAAAGAGACATTGGGCGTACATGTAAAGGCCTGAGTTCGCTTGTGCGATTGATGCATGCGGCTGCAGCGTCCATGGCAGAGACTGATCATATGGCATAACATGTTTATGGGTTTACTAGCTCGTCGACGTCTAGCGTCTGAAGTGTGACGCAACGTCGGAACGCAGGCACTGCTATCGAGACCAGTCCAGCGGCGAGACGCAAGTGATTTAGTGATTTCACTGCAATATTTCTATTTATTTGCCGTCGACATGAATCAAATTGATTTCTACTTATGCCAAAATAAGCGTGGAATTTAGTATCATCTATATATCGATGTTTGTACATAGAATTATGAGGTTTTCTTTTCGTAATTAAAAACGGAATCATGGTTTCATTATCTTCTTCTTCTAATAAAAGAGCTAATGCAAGCTCCATGATGCCAATTAATTAACTACTCAAATTTACATTTGCACTGTGCTCGGCTGCCGACTTTTGTCAATTTTTAGATGCACAAGTGAACCCACCTACGACGCATGCGATGGACGCCTGCAGTCGCTACTTGCGTCAGACGCATGCATCAATCGCACAAGCGAACCCAGGCCTTAAGTGAACGGTCATTCGCCTAAAATCAAGAATGAAGAAGAAGAAGAACAAATATTTTCAAGCGGAAGGAGTCCGAAACAGATCTTGGAATCAAACGACAGAAAAAGAAAAGGATGGAAGGTAGTTCAGAAACACTATAGTTGGATTCTTGCATTTCTCTATTAAAAGATGATGAAACACGTTCAGAGATAAACTCTTGGACCACTAAAGAATAGTACAAACCGGACATCGAAAAACGTAGAGCGTTGTAAATCGGAATAGGTGTACATCTAACTAGACGCTTACATGGTAAACTGGAAATTTGTAGGTGTATTAAGCCTTTTGTGACTGACCTTACGTATTAATATGCAAATACTATGCTGATCAACCGCAGACATTCAAATTTTGATGAATTTTCTAATGGCATCCCACTGATTAAGGTGACATTGGAGCAAATAATAATTTGACCCTAGTAATGAAATTATCTACTAACCTGTAGTCCCATAACCAGCTGGTCCTTGCAGGCCACCACAGATCCGGACCAATCGATTTGGTCACTCCCACTTGCTGCGCTTTTGCTATCACTATCATCTTTCAGATCAAACGCAGATATCACTTCTAAGTCGCATTTTTCTATATCCAAGTCGCTATACATTGAACTGTCCGAGCTGTAACACATTACGGAGATTCAGTACAATTGAATTGCCAAAAGTGGCAATTGACGCTGACCTGTTTCTATCAGTGACACTCAATCCCCTGACTTTTTCTGAAACTGTGTTGACACTAGAGTACTCATATCCGGCTCGATCACTGAAAAGTTGCCGTGTTACGTGATCTCTGATAGTAACGTCAGCAGTTTCTATTTCCAAATTATCGTCGTCATCTGAAGAATAGGATTCATCCCCAGTGGTGCCGGTGGAACCCACACGTTTGTGGTTGTGAATCTTCTTGGAAGCTGACGACATATTGGCCAGTAACAAGGGTTGAATTATCTGGAATAAACATATTGTGTAATTATAACAAGATGATTAATTCTTTTGCAAAAATGTTTATTTTAGGGCGTGTGACAGGAAACCCTGAAGACAGGTTTAGAGCGACTTGTAGGTCTCAATACTGCTTTAAAATGCAACAATCAAAACTCGCGAAGTGGATTTTTCTGTTTTATCCCCGTAAAGGTTTAACCGATAAATTGAAAGTTCTGCTCTTCTCTCTTCTTCGGAAAGTTCTGCTCGAGCTATTTCAGCAATATTCCATTAAAATCCTGTGTTTTGGATAATTCAGTTACACCAAAAAAAAAAAATAGGCGGTATTATCAGAGGGGCAAAAAACAGGAAAGCTCCAGGAAAAAATGGGAAATCAAAAAATGTGTTTCTCAAGAATCACCAATCTGGTAAATGCTATTCTTAGGATGGGACATTGTTCGAGTATGTTTCAACAGGCAGAAATCATCATGCTCCTAAAGTCTAAGAAACCTTGATTGATTCCACGAACTACAGACTGTAAAAAGTTAAAAATATTGGGAATCTGTATGTTCTGTCAAAAACAAATTAATGCACGAACAGATTAAAATTAAAATTTAAAAAGATATATAGAAATAATCAACAGTGAAACAAAGTTAAGATCTTAGAGGCACAAAAGTGAAAATACCGAACGCCATTTGAGTAATTAGAATGCAAAGAAACTATACCGAAGAAATTAATAACAAACGGCACAATCGGACTGCTCCTGCTGCATGTGGGAAAAGCCTTTGATATCGTATGGAAAGGCGGGCGCTTCTACAAGATGGCAAACACAAGTACAACTTTAAATCTTTAATCTGATGGACAACCCAATATATCCACTCCGGGATGTTTCAACTTTGAAGTTCGCCCCCTCAACTTGATCTAATTGGGCGTTTATGGTTGCTCGAAAAAATTTACGATTGTCAACCGTGTCTTGCTGTTTACTTTCGGTTGCAAATCGACTCATCGAGTTTAGAGATGGCCATTTATTTGGTTTTATTTTTATGTAATTATTATATTTTATGTTAATTGCTGATCCCACTTTTTGCTTTGTTTTATGTTTATAACATACTCTGTACAGCTGTTACAGCATTATTCAAAATTCGAGCAAACTTAAGCAACATTTTTATTTGCACCAATTTTCTACTACGAAACGACCAATCAGTACAAACCGTATTGATGGGATGAAGACATTGAAAAAATAATCGGAGAGCAGAAACAAAAATATCAAAAATACGTGAGCTCAAAAAAACCAAAAGATCTATCAGAATATAAAAAGATACAAGCAGGGGTGAGAAGGAAAATCTGTAAAAAAATGATGCATGGGTAAAGAGGTGCCAAAAAATACATACTTACATAGGAGGAACCAGAAGCTCAGAAAGTTAGAAAATCATAAAAGGGCTCAGAAACAACAAAAGCAACAGAAAGAGTTGAAAAATGCAAATTCTCCGGGACCATAAAATATTCCGGGCGAGCTCCTCAAATACGGCACAGAGAGGTTATACAGACATTTGACGATACTAATGAATGGAACATATCAGATAATCCCCCAGTTTAGATGTGAGATCTATCGAGGCATAGCGGTCATAAGCACTATGTGGAGAATGTACGGAAAAATTATGAAAAATAGAATAGAAAATGAATACAAAGAAATAGAAGCAGAAGAACAAGTTGGATTTCGTGCGGGTAAAGATGGCACGCAACCAACAAATTTATCTCTGATTTGTGGACCTGAAAAAAGCTTACGATAATGTTCAATCAAGCAAACTTTGTGAAATATTAGAGAAAGCGAACATAAATGTAGGGCTAATTACAAACATCAAAAGTCTCGAGAAACAACCTACAAAGAAGATGAAATCAGGAAAACAAATAAGACCTGGCTTCATAGGTTCAAAAGGAATGAAACAAGGATGCTCTACCTCACCGACCTTATTCAAAATATACCCGGAGGGAATCTTGAAGAAATGGAAAGGGAAGTGCAATACTATGGGCATACTACTCTCAGACACGATCCTGTATACTCTATCATTCGCCGATGATCAAGAGCTAATCGCGCAAGACCATGACAATTTGAGCTATATGACCCGAAAGCTAATTGAAGAATATCAACACGGGGGGTCTGCAAGTAAACAAACAAAAAAACTGCGTACATGGTGATAAACGGAGAACAAACGGATCTTGATCTGTAAGGCGGAGTTGCCATCAAACAAACAAAATAATATCGATACAAACACCCAATGTGCCAAGGCAGAAAGGCTATCGCTCTTTTAAGTGCACTACTTTGGGACAGAAGCTTCACCAAAAAAAACAAAAGACTCATTTATAATGCGATTGTAAAAAGCATGTTTAATTGGCATCATATTGGAATCTCTCTCTCTGGAGGTGTTGTCTGGGGCTGTTATAAGAGTACAGAAAAAATAGTAAAAGAAATTAATTGTTATTAAAAACTGAGAAATTTGCAACAAACTRTATCAGAAATACGGCAGCRATGTTCTTCAAGGTAATCTGCCTAATTAACATTGCGCAAATACCTGTTGCTTCGTAATTATTTAAAACTCCGGTAACCATGGAATTRTACAGAGTGACAATAAGATAGACAAGGATAAACGGTAAATTCAAYAATATTTGTTGACTGCGGAACGTACTTTTGAAATGTCAAWCTGTTCTCATAAMCTCTCTAAATTGGAGTTTATAAATAAACCATACAACACTAAACATTTGAATGGTTAACTCCAAACAAGCTAGTGYCTGTGTAATCTCCTTATTATGCACTCTTATCAAGCAGCTTCTCGTATTCAGTTCATTAACTCCTGCTCCATTTGTATCTGCTGTGTGTATCGTACAAACGTGGTAGGAATGTAACCCTTCCTCGGTATTTATTTGCTGCTTGGGAAAGTGTCAGTTATTGTACTCTGAGTACCCCTGGAAGGCCCTGATTCGATTATGTCCAATACTTGTTCCTCTGTGCCTGGAACCCGAAAATCGATTGTCGTCCAGTATCTTCCTGGAACCACTCTCCTCGCCCATTGTTGGCGTGAGTTCTTTCAGCTTCTGCTATGTTACTGTAGCATTTCCCCCGAACTAATCCCGGATCCGCAAATTCGTGAAAGGAAATTCAAAATAAGTCACAGTTTGACAAATTATTGTTATTGTTGACAAGGGCTATCCACTTGTAACCATCTGTTAATGACAAAAAACATCATTGCCGCTGTGCCTTTTCATCAAAAAATTGTAGAAGAGAACTTTTCTGATATCAAAAATTTTCGTAATTTGAAGCAAAGATAGTAATTTTTCTATTTGAATGCTTAAGTATTCCAATATCCTACCAATTAAACATAGAACAATTTCAAAATAATGCTTAGTAACAAAGTTGAAATTTGATCTTCAACTGTTAATATCTTCTAGAAATTTCTAGCGAAAAATCTAGCGAAAAAAAAATTTTCAATTTTTTGCTCGTACTCCCCAAGGGAGCCTCTATTACCCCTTAAAAGGAATGACGCCAATTTTGAATCACCCTGTATACAAGTGAAACAATAAGTGTTGAAAATGCAAGTGCTGCTTCCACGTTATGGTGTTTGCTATAAGCTGCATATTTTGCATAAAATTTGCGGTTTTAAAAAAATCGTGTTTTGCTTGTGGCAACATCGGCGAGCGCAGAAAAATAGACCGTTTGAACGACTTTGAGACTGAACCTGTGACAAAGTTATACCTATTTTACAAAGTAAACTTTAAATTTTGATCAATAGTTGTCGATAAACCTATGTAATTAATTAAAAAAGCATGTGTGTTACTTTTTAATGAAAATGCTTTAAAAAATATAATGACAGTGACACGTTCAATTTATCATATCTACTTTTGCGCACATGTGAGAAAAAGTCCGTGCGTAAAAGTAAAACAAATGAACAGTAAAGAAAAGTGCTTCTTTATGACAATCACTTCTGATCGAAAAATGGCAGTTTTAGATTCATTCGAATAACAAAATATTATTGCGTTAAACGAGTTCAATATTTTATCGTTTCTATACAGGGTGATTCAAAATTGGCGTCATCGGAAAGAAGAAAGGAACATTTGAAGCATTAAGTTCTTATAAACTGATTAAAGTCACAGATGTAAAGTTTTATCCGAAAAATATATTTTCATTATATTTGCCTTTTATTTCACCTGTTACCTTTGCTGATATTCACATGCAACAGGTATTTGGAAGCTATTTTCCGTCTTTCCGAAGTACCCCCCGTTCACATACTGAGAGAATTTAAGTCCAAACATCCAAATGTCAGTTCTACGACAAGCTGTGAAAAGAGCCAAGAACGTRCACGGATTAAACGGATAAGTAGTTTAAATTAATAGAATGTAACTAGCTTAGCGCATCGAAACTACTAGCTTGCTTAAATTAATAAGATAAACAAAGTAGCATGCAGCGGGAGTGAATGTGAAGTAATGATATAAGAGCGAATGAACATCTTAGATAAAGAAGAAAGTTTGAAAGGTCCCGCTTAAAGTTACACATACAAGTTAAAATCGACTAATTAGAACTGAGATTTAAAACCGGCTCCAAGGGGTTTTACTATTTTATTCAATCACATTTGCTATTCGTGCAACATTTAATTTGCAAAACATTTAGATCTGTCAGTACGTAACGTTGATACCGAAATATCATTTTTCTTTTTCGTTTACAACTTGTACTTTAACGGAAACCTGATGATTTAATTTCGTAAGAAAAATTCGGTATCTGCATGCTAAACTCAAGATCAATAAACTATTTTTAGAAAAACTTTTATGAACTGATCTACATTCACTAGAAGAGGCGTACCAAACTTTCACAAATTACAGATTTTGCCCCAAACAAATCCGCATGAGATAATGTCAATCTTAAATATAAAAAGTGAAATTTAGAGTGAAAATATTTACCTACCCGCCTCAACACTCTACTTTCCCAGACGACCAACTTATGAACTCGTTAGCATCCACTGTTAACTCTTGTAAACTGGACA